TTGAGGGCCTATTTTGTGCCTAAAAATAGATGCGTTCACGTCTCATGCTGAATTAGAGAATAACGTCACGGGTGACCCCTGGCATGCAGTAGCGATGCAAATTGTGTTTTGGGCCTAAAATCGGTTGTACGCGATTGTCGTGTGATTCATGCGTCTAAACAGAGATCTGCTCCGTACCGTTGTGATTGATAATAAAAACCCCGTGCGATTCCGCCTATTATGCGTATTGGACCTGGTAGCACGTGTAGCTAACTTATTGATATGGAGCGAAGGATTTCGGTTAGTGGGGATGTTAAGAAATTATAGCTGATTCATAGACACATATGTGGCATGTGTTAGCCTTAATGTTTAGGTCACTTTACTATCTCGTAGTACTACATTAAGTTACATTATATTAATTCTATTAATATATAATTACTCATAGTCCCCAGGTCCGGCTATGACCGGTGAAACGAACACTCACGAATTGTATTGTGATCATTGACAATCTGCAATGAAGGTCGGGAATCTAGCTATTATAGACAGCATTTCATGTGACATTGTTAGCCTGTAATCTTCTAGGTCATACTATATCTGATTAGTACTATTTAGTATAATGGATATACTATGGATATTATATAGTTATTATAAATAATAAGTATATTATATATAATTATTATATTATAATTATATTTATTAGCTATTATTAGAGTATAATTTACTATTATATTATACTATTACTTATAGCGTCACCGGCTATGACCGGTGAACGAAACGTTGGTACGATTGTATTTTGATCATGGGAATCTGCAATGACAGCGTCGTGTATTCGTCTTAATTTTCCTCTGTTTAGGACGCATTGCTATGCTGATTTAAAGTATATATGGTGGTTGCGGGGTGACTCTGTTAGGGGGTGAGGGAGAAGAGATAGAAGAGCGCAGACAGAAAAACAGACTCTCCCCTTTTGTATTGCGGTAAAATGTTTTTGGCCTAAAGAAATGGGGCCCAAGGATAGACACATGGTCCCAATAAAACCAATGTGCCTACCCTAACGCTAACTCTAATTCTAACCCTAACCTATGTATATTGTATAATATTATATTTACTATTGAATGTAAATGAATTGGTTTTTTGGGACCCATGTTTTCTCTATCCTGTGAACCTAAAAATTAAATGGTACGTGGCGGATGCTGACTTGCTTGAGGGGGAGTGTGTACTTCTAGTTGCTAAGTAACGACAAACTGAGGTTGCCGAAATGAAATAAGCATGCTAGGATTTGCTGTTAACTTTATGATTTTTAATAACCTATATGAGCGGGGTGCTCCTTTCGAATGCTAATATATTCGAGTGTTATTGTTTTGTTGCTGATATTTGACAACCAGCTAAAACTTATCACTGGCGAAAATTCGCGAAGGATAGGTCGGGTATATAAGGCGCCACCGCAGCGGACATTTATTAAAAATTTGACATTTTTGTATTTTTTCTTATTGTTTTTCATTTGTTTTGTCTAAAATGGTCCAATACCATCTAAAGTACTTAATCGCATGTATGACTGATTAAGATATTATTATGGTGTGGGGTGAACTGAACCTTACGTCGGGGGAGAAGATAGACAAAGACAGACAGACAGCAGACAGACACAAAACCGGCTCGCCCTTGTATATAAGAGATATATATATATATATATATATATATATATATATATATATAAACACATTAACTATTCATACCATCATTTTCTTTAACTTGGTCTAGTCTGGGCCCAATTTGGATTTCTGAAACTTTCTCAAATCTAAAAAAGAAAACCAATATTTAGGAAATTACCTTTATTCACAAGTGCAACACCAATTTCAAATTTCCTTAAAGGGATATTGACTCTTAGGATTTTAGCTGATACAATGTACTTTACTGTTATAACAAATAACGTCTATATACCCACACGTTACTTGTTTTACCAGATACCTATTTTTAATTGTTGATACATTGTATATAATTAACGCCTTACAAATCTTGGAACGGCCGCATTGCACCTCACCGGCGCACGTGCTGCCACCCTGAAACAAAGTTTGTCCGCACTTTTCCAATGTATTTTGCACGTTTATCAGATCAAGGCTAATCACAAAGGTGCCAATTATTTTATACCTTAATGCCGAACGATGTTCATTTTAGGACAAATTTATCCTAATATAGCTGAAACTACTATTGTGTTTATATAGATATTCAATGCCTTCTCGCTTTTCTTAAATTAAAATAATAAGAACACCTCGCGTCTGTACAGCCTTGGACCTTTGAAAAGTAGTTTCGCGCAACGTTTTCAGTTCGTGCGCTATGGAGTGGTTGACACTTGTCCATTGTAATTCAACTTGTAGTGCTGTTTAGTTTTAAAACATAAAAAAAAATTTTGAATGGTGATTGAACATTGAAGTTTTTATGTAGGCGTAATTTTAACCTAAAGTAAGAGGATCCTTTAAACACATTTAAGTTAACCTCCAAAGATAAAATAAATAAAAAAGTTACTTTTGATTGAATCCTGCTAAGACGTACTGTATCACAGAGAGTACTCATCCCATTTCCTCGCTGAGTTCTCACGAGTCTTATCACTCCGACAATTTAACACTTGAAAAATATAAAGAATGATGTGTAGTGGTCATAGATTATTACTCTATCACCATCATTAGTACTTGACACAAGCACTAAGATGTAACCTGGCCTGTATGCAAGATTCGGTTCAGGTCTATCTGAATTGCTCTTTTCATTAGCAAACTGTGTTTTCTCATTTTTAATGTGTTCCTAACATTCGTGCGTTTATTCTTCAGGCAAGAGGACAAAAGATCTCGAATGAAATTGAAAAAGCGGACAGAAATTTCGGGTGGCAAAACACGTGTACTGAAGAACAAACCCATGGTTGTCACCACTTGGGTACATGTGGGGATGATAAAAATGAAGTATGGATACTGCTATAATGAAGTTATGTTTATGCCTAAAACCTGAAGTTTGAACTGCGGACCAAGACGTTGGCACTCTCACAGGACCATCTAGTAAAGATAACTGTGGATAACAACAGCTATACTGCTCGCTGATTGTGAAGGGTTGATTTCCTGAGCCAAGTCAAATGCCAATTTGTCATTTATTATAATCTATTCTAAGAATTGATACAGATTATTTTATAAAACCTCTGATAACATCATCTTCATCCTCCCAAGCTGGCTGTCCGGTGAAACGCATCTTCCCACAAGCCCATAGTGGCGGGATATATAAATATATATAGAGCTAATAAATACCTAGAGTGTACAACGGAAAAATGGGGAAATAGTGCTATTTCACGGCAATATTATTCTACTTTGCCTGTGAGTCTAGAATAATTTTATGATATTGCATTAAGCAGAATTCTTTGCTCTCCAAAACAAGACCAACCGCTTGTCAATACGATACTCCTAGGCTGAGATATTGGAATATTCACTATCCTTCTCGCCTTTTGCGAGTTAGGAAAGTCACTTCGTGAGAGTTAGTTTTTTTTTCCGCGATAACTTTATGAATGAACGGCGTTTCGGTTATCATCGGTGACTTTCGGGGGCATCGCCTATGCCCTTATCTCCCATTATCTTTCCTAGCACGGCTAATGCCCGTCATGATGGAGCCGGCAATGTTTTCTAAATTAAGTCTCTACAACGCAGCTCAGTTTACTATATGGTGTAGTAAGAGTACCAAATTTGGACATGTGACATCAATTATCAGCGCTCCAAGTGGCGACGGAAAACGATAGCCATACCCGCAAACGGCGAGAAGGATAGTGAATATTGTGGATGCGAGGCGGCGTGAGGCCTGTGGGAGGCATGATTACGCTCCAATATCTCGGCCTAGGAGTATCGTAGAAACAAGCGGTTGGTCTTATTTTAGAGAGCAAAGAATGCTGCTTAACGCACTACCAACTTAGTCTAGAACCGCATACAAAGTAGAATAATATTGCCGTGAAATAGCACTATTTTCCCGTTGTACACTCTAGGTATTGATTAGCTCATGATATATATATATACATATATAGGTAAGTAGGTGCCCTGGTAGGATGGGTGTCATTTTTAGTAGGTAGCTGGTGGATAGATAGATAGATAGATATAAAGATAGAAGGAAATGAATATATTATAATGTAATATTGATATAAAACTAAGGTATACATATGATTATCAGCATTTTTTAAGGTTTCTTGACATTATTTTTAATAAATATTCATATTGAAATGATACATGACAAAAATGAATTTAAGCATAGTGCAACCATATTAAATAATTCTTATCTGCATTAAAGTTATCCTTCAACATCGTGTTATTAATCTACAGAAGACAGCGAAGATGAGTTGCTTCATCATACTGGCAGCTACGTAACCATGTCAGATAGCCTACCGAATGGTGTAATACAGATGGCAAAGTGCAGAAATGTCAATTATGAGGATCGCACTGCGAGTGTATGTATATCATGTACAGAGGTTATGTCATGTCTTATAATACTGATTAGCTAGTCTGAGAATACCGTCTTGGACAAGCGAGTATAGTAATGTTAGTTGAGAGAACTTGTTATGTCCAAAAGAAATGGATACACTACAGTTAAACTTGCATGTAAGGGTCAGTCATAGTAAATATTATGTATATGTTGTTATGTATATTTCTGTATACATTTTAGAGATTAAATTAAAAAATTCCCAGTTGTGTAAGCAAGGCATTGAGAACTCATTCGTTTTGTAATCTGCTAATAGGGAAAACTAAGGAGTGTAGAGTTTCATCCTTCAGCTCAAGTGGTTCTTACAGCTGGTGTGGACCAGAGGGCAAGGCTATTTCAGGTGAGGTTGAGTACTACAACCATAGACAGTAAAAGCTGTAATATAATACTAAATTTGTTTTTATGAAAAATTCAAATAATTATACTGGCAGTATGTGACAAGAGCTGAAAATCAATTGGCAAACGTTTCCATTAAAATTCACAAACATTCAAAAAACGAACAGGTTTATTAAGGTTTATGGAATCATGGTAACTCTCACTAATTTGTGATTCTACGATACAGGATTCTGCTGTTGAAAGTGATGAAGATCGTCACGGCCGTCATGGGGTTGTGGGAGATGCTGTTTCACGGAAGCCAGCTTGGGAGGATGAAGATGATGTTATTCAGAGGTTTATAATAATAATGCTGTTATAATTCTTAGAATAGATTAGAATAAGATGAAAATGGCATTTACTTGGGCTATGGGAAATGCAACCCTTCACATCAGCGAGCATGTATAGCTGGTGTTATCAGTATCTTTACTAGAGTTCCTGGAGAGTGCCAACCTTGGTCCAGTTCAACTTCAGGTTGTTATGCATAAACATAACTTCATTATACAGTATCCATATTCATTTCTTATCATCCCCACATTACCCAAGTGGTGTACAACCATGTTTTGTTCTTTCAGTACACTTGTGTTTTGCCACCCGATTTCTGTCCCTTTTCAATTTCTTTCGAGATCTTTTGTCCTCTTTGCCTGCGAAGAAACCCGAATTGTTAGGAACACATTAAAAATGAGAAACACGTTTGCTAAGAAAACAATTCAGGTAGCCTGAGCCGAATTCTTCATACAGCCGGTTACATCTTAGTGCTTTGTCAAGTACTTATGATGGGGTTGATAGAGTAATTATTCTTGACACTACCACATCTTTCTTTTATATTTTCAGTGTTAAATTGTCGGGTGATAAGACTCGTGAGGAACTACAGCGAGGAAATGAGGAGGTACTCTCTGGTGATCAGTACCTTAGCAGGATTCAATCAAAGTAAGCTTTTTTATTATTTTACTTTGGAGGGTTAACTTAAATGTGGTTAAAGGGATCCTTTACTTTAGGTTCTAGGGTTATTTTCAGTTACTTTAGGTTAAAATTACGCTACATAAAAAGTTTCATGGTTCAATCACCATTAGAAATTTTTTTTTATGTTTTAAAACTAACGACTACAGTTTGATTACAATGACAGTGGCACCACTCATAGCGCACGATCTGAAAAGTTGCGCGAAACTACTTTTCAGCCAAGGGCTGTACAGACCGAGGGTGTTTCTTATTTATTTTAATTTAAAAGCAGAAGGATTGTAATATCTTATAAACGACATATAGTTTCAGCTATATTATGGATAAATTTGTCCTAAAATGAACATCGTTCGCATTTAGGTATAAATATAATTGCACCTTTGTGATTAGCCCTTGATCTGTAACGTGCAAAATACATTGGGAAATGCGCAACTTTTTCAGGGTGGCAGCACGGTCGCGGTGTCAGCAACACCAATTTCAAATTTCCTTAAAGGGATACTTGACTCTAGGATTTTACTGCATACAACTGTACTTACTGTATAACAAATCGTCTATACCCACACGTACTTGTTACCAGATACCAAATTTAATTGCTTAGGTATTCCTTATTTTAGTGTATGTTCATTTACCAAATCGGGCCTTCCATTCTCCTAACGATGTTAATTACAATTTTGAGACGGCGGCCAT